TGGTATTTAGCTGCTAGACTGATTTCTGTGTCTAAATACTGTATTTTCAGAAATAGAGGTTTGTGGAACCACCTAAAATCAAAGTACAAGCTTTTAGTGAGGAACTTCCTAGAAAATGTATTTTGATAAATGTCTGGCAGTCATAGAACAGCTCTTTTTAAAATTCAGGAAGAGGCTGGACATGTGGTGGCTCATACCTGTAATTCTAGCATTCTGGAGGCAAGGTGGATGGATGCTTGAGGTCAGGAATTCAAGACCAGCCTGAGCAAGAGTGAAACCCCCATCTCTGCTAAAAATAGAAAAAAAAATTAGCCAGGCATGTGGTACACACCTGTAATCCCAGCTACTTGGGAGGCTGAGGCAAGAGGATAACCTGAGCCTAAGAGTTTGAGGTTGCTGTGAGCTATGATGTTACAGCTCTTTAGCCTAGGGCAATAGAGTGAGACTCTGTCTCCAAAAAAAAAAAAAAAAAATTAAGGAAGGGAGCTAAGTGTAGTGGCACATGCCTATAGTCCAGACTACTCAGAAGGCTTGGGCAAGAGGATTGATTGAACCTGGGAGTTTATAGTGAACCATGGCTGCACCCATGCACTCTAGCCTTGGCAACAGAGCAAGATCCTGTCTCAAAAAAAAAAAGAGAGAGAGAACTTTGTATTAAATTATTAGAATATCAAATTCTATTCAGAAATTACGAAAAGGTTAGCCTGTACATTTTTGCATAAGTGTTTAAGGATTTTTAAAAATTTTATACAATCCTTATCTAACTTCATTTTTACTTATTTAACACTTATTTGCTGTTTTATTATATATCCTTTATTATAAATGCCTTACAAGTATTAACTTATTAAATCCTCATAACAACCTTAAATATTTTAATGTTTTCATAAAAGGATAGTTTAAATGCTTTTACTAAATGTTCATTTGTTTTCCAGTTGTTTATTTAACAAAGGTTAGTTAGGCAACAAACCTCATTTAATTTAACATGAAAGTTATAACCTCAGGTTTTGTGATGAAAATTCTGCAGTAAGTGGTTTCACTAAAATAATTTATTTCACTAAAACAATAAAGATTTAATCATTTTAATAATGTACATTCTATAGTGGATATTCTGTTATGTATGTGTATGAAATAGGGAAAAATAGAGACAAACAAAAGCATGAAAATATGCTTTCATGTCCAAGCATTTATTTTGTCTTATTTACCTTTGTGGAGTAATTAGTATGGAACGTTTGCCAGCATATAGATTTGAAAATGCATTTGGAATGATAATTATCCTTAAGTAGCATTAATGTGTCATCTATCAGTTTTATGGAACTTTGCTCTTATTCTTGGTGCAAATAGAGGTGAAGTAAATCTACCTGGCATTTGTAAGGAAGGTGCTTTTACTTTTTCCAGAGTATTCGTTACCTTATTTATTATAAGATGGTTTTTGTCTTGGGTTCCTCTTTCATTTGCTTTAGTTTTAGGTATGGAGATTGTGAAGGTTTTGTTGTTTGCCTTCGCCTTGTGATTTCTCTCATCATGACAGGAAAAATTATACCAAGTTAGCCATGTTCAATACATATGTGGCTAGTTAATTCTCTGAAACTAGGTAGACCCAAAACTTTATTCAAATAGGTACCTTCCTGAGTCTGCCTACTTACTGTATCTTTTCTTCTACTTCCTGCTCAGTAAACTGAGTGTTGTCCATAAACTGTTACTATCTCATCGAAAGGGTATGGTAGCAGAAAATAAATACCTTGCATTTCACTTGTTTTTTTTTTTTGAGACAGAGCCTCAAGCTGTCCCCCTGGGTAGAGTGCTGTGGCATTACAGCTCACAGCAACCTCCAACTCCTGGGCTCAAGTGAGTCTCCTGCCTCAGCCTCCTAAGTAGCTGGGACCACAGGCGCCCACCACAACGCCCGGCTATTTTTTGGTTGCAGCCATCATTGTTGTTTGGCGGGTCTGGGCTGGGGATTTGAACCCACCACCTTAGGTGTACCTGGCTGGCGCCTTAGCCGGTTGAGCTATAGGCGCCGAGCCTGCATTTCACTTGTTAATGGAATCTGTGAGTAGATTATGGTTATTGAACATACTCTGAATACTTTCTAAAGAATTACATTCAGTCTGTATTTTTCTGTATTATTTGGAAGATGCTAGGAAAAATCATTAGAATAATTTGTGTTTTTGACATTTAAATTAAACCTGATAGGCAGCCTCTGTGGTGTTATCCTCACTAGACACTCAGTACATATTTGTTGATTAAATAAGGAGACTTGGATTCTGTTTCTAGCTCTGCCACTAAATGGATTGTTAGAATTCACCTGATTTGCATTTCACTAGGACAAGTTAGAAGGCCAAAATATCTGAGTTAATACTGAGTGATTTAAGTGGAAAACAGCTGGTGGTAAGTATCGTGCACAACCATGAAGATGAGGGAATAGCAGAGACCTTGATGTGGCTTGAAAATATGGTTTAATCTCCATGTCAAACCAAATACATTTTGCAGCATTAGTTGGTCCTTTTATCCGGTAGTACAGCCTAGATAGGGTACAGGTATAGAGATTGCCCAGAAGTTGGAGTCATTTTATTTTCTGTTTGGCATAGCCTAAATTTCATTTGGCCTTGAGCCAGTGAGGTAGTAGTTTAATTTCATGGATGCTTTACACCCATTTTGAGAGTAATTTCTTTTAAATTGGCATTCTCTCTGTAATTATAGAACATTGAATTTTGACACACGCCCTTTCTTCTTCCCACCTACTCTGTCATTTATTTCCCACCCACTCTCTCCCAACACTCTTTATCTTTTTATCCTTGTTCAGGTTTTTGTTTTTTTTTTTCTTTGAGGCAGGATCTTGCTCTGTCATTCAGGTTATGGTACAGTGGGGTATCATAGTTCACTGCAGCCTTGAACTCCTGGTCTCAAGAGATCTTCCTGCCTTAGCCTCCTGAGTAACTAGGATACAAGCATGTACTACTGTGCCCAGCTAATATTTTAAAAAAATTTATAGGGATTTTTTTGTTACTCAGGCTTGTCTCAAACTCCTGGTCTTAAGTGATCCTTCTGCTTCAGCCTCCCAAAGTGCTAAGATTACAAGTGTGAGCCACTGCACCTGGTCTCAATTTTCTTTTTGTTAATGATCCCTCCCACAACTAGGGTGGGAGGGGGACAGGGGCAGTGGTGTTTTCGGTTGTTCACCACAGAAAGCCAATTAACTGACATGAGGATTGTCACAGAAGAGGGGATTTATTTGGGGGGGGATGCATCAACCAGGATGTGGGAGAATGGAGTGCCTCAAATCTACCTCCTTAACCAACAAGGTTGGGGAGGGGTTTTTCTGGAGGTGAAATGAATAATGCATGAGGGCAGAGTGTAGGGTGTGCAAGTGCAGTAAGAAATCATGCTAGTACATACATCCCTGATCAAAAAATGGCAGATAAGTCCCTCCCAGGGCAGGGATTTAGAGGTTAATAGTGGGCATTTTTTCAGACTTGTGCCCAGGTGGGATATGGGAAGTAGATAGCTTAGTGGGTTCTTGGGCACAATCTGTGGTGGGATGTCACTTTTCTTCTTCAGACAAACAGGTGGTATAAGGTTTTGTAGTTGTCTTATGGTTGAGAGGAGGCTCTGCTGTTCCTGGGAAAGCAGCTCAAAAGGGAATCCATCAGTGCAACAGAAAGCTACGAAGTTCTGGTCAGCAAATGACTTACCTGGGACCTTAAAACATAAGAGAACTATAAAATACAAATACATATACATATATAAAAGATTTTTTTGCTTCTGGAGCTCATTACTTTTTTACTTCTTCTTTGATCTGCCAAACTATTTCTTATCTATGGCAGTGTATAATATGCATTTTATATATAAAATGCATAAAAATGGTTCTGCTCCCAGTATGACCCATGGAAATAGATCAGCAATCATCTGCCAGGTCAGTATTTGGGGACAAAGAAGCTGCATCAGACTTGTTCTAATACTACTACTACTGTGTAACATTCTCTAAGGAGGGATGCTGTCATTTAGGGCCCTCTGATTTTTTCTCTTGAGTTCAATGAAACAAGAGCAGGGTATTAAAGTTCTGTTCCTTGTGGTCGGAAACTTATTCATTGGCCCAGTATCAAGATAGATCTTCCATTCCTAAATCCTCCAAAAAAGGGAAGTACTAATTCTACCCTCTCTCCTATCCCTTTGTAAATTAGCGCCTGTTCAAATTTTAGATAGAGGTATTCACAGTTCTTTGAAATCTAGAGAGGAGAATCTTCTGCTTCCTGGCTTCATGTGTCCTGAGATTCAAGCTACTGTTTCCATTTGGTTTCCCCTGTGTATCTTGTCTCTCTTTTATGGTATTACATCCTTAACTATTACATCCTGCCATTATAGTCTGGTGAAACACTTATTAATGGTTCTTCTAGGCAGTTTTTCTAAAATGAACAGAACAAAACTTTTATATATCTGTGTGTGTGTGTGTGTGTATTTTTTTTCTTTTTTCCTTGCAGTTTTTGGCTGGGACTGGGTCTGAACCCGCCACCTCTGGCATTTGGGGCTGGCACCATACTCCTTTGAGCCACAGGCACCACCCAATCATATTTTTTAAGATGATTTTTTTAGAGCAGTTTTAGGCTCACAGCAGAATTTAGAGGAATGTATAGAGATTTCATGTGTGACTCCCTGCCGTCACAAATGCATAGCCTCTGCTTTATCAGCATGTTCTACTAGAGTGGTAAATTCATTACAATTGTATTTCTTTTTAATCATCCTGTGCAGAAACCATGCTGAGTGGAAAAGAGCTACTAATTTGTGCTTGGAAGTTTTGCATAGAGCCATTTAGTGTCTCTACTTGTCCTTATAGTGCAAAATGGCTTAGGGGAATTTAGAATGTAGAAATTTACCTTTTAGGCAACCTTCTAACTATAAATTTAGTGAAGGAATCCCAAAGAGGATTCCAAATGACAAAATAACTTTTGATATATCGTTTGTAAATTTTGGTTTTGATCTCAGTCTTTTATTTTTCTTCTTAGTTGCTTTAGGTCGTAACCAGCCTTTGAAAAAGGAGAAACCAAAATGGAAAAGCGATTATCCTATGACAGATGGACAACTGCGCAGCAAGAGAGACGAATTTTGGGATACTGCACCAGCATTTGAAGGCCGTAAAGAGATTTGGGATGCCTTGAAGGCTGCTGCACATGCTTTTGAGAGCAATGATCATGAACTGGCGCAAGCAATCATTGATGGTGCAAACATAACATTACCACATGGTAGGTTTGGTGTTCCCCAGGGACAAAGGCAACATGATCAGCTTGTTCACAACAGCAAGAAACTGAAAACAAAGGTTTTTTCCTTTGCTATGTGTTATTGTAACTTTAAAAAAAAATGTAGCAGGGATTATCATTGTTTCTTTGTATATCTCTCACTAGAGATAGGTTTTACTTTGTGTGTTCATTTTTTTTTATGTTTCTTTAAATCTTCTTAATCTCAGAAAAGAGAATACTTGGCTTGGTGCCCATACTTAGTGGTTAGGGCACTGCCCACATACACTGGGGCTGGTGGGTTCGAACCTGGCCTAGACCAGCTAAACAACGACTACTACAACAAAAAAAAATAGCCAGGGCTCAGTGCCTGTAGTTAAGTTGTTAGGGTACCGGCCACATAACACCAGGGCTGGCAGTTTAAACCCAGCCCAGGCCTGCTAAACAACAGTAACTACAACCAAAAAATAGCTGAGTGTTGTGACAGGCACCTGTAATCATGGCTACTTGGGGGAGGCTGAGGCAAGAGAATCACTTAAGCTCAAGAGTTTGAGGTTGCTGTGAGCTAGGGCACCAACGGCCTTCTGCTGAGGGCAACATAGTGAGACTCTGTCTCAAAAAAAAAAAAAGAAAAAACTTGATAATTTATATATTGTAGTTTCCTTGTAATTTAGTTCTCCATGAAGACCTCTTCTCTTCACAACTCCAGTCCCATCCCACTACCATCCCCATCGCCCCCAGTACCCTACCTTCATCCATCAATTGAAGCTTCTACTTCACTAGTTTTCTACTAGCACTAGAGATACAATCTCAAGAGTTTGTAAGCTGTAGAGATTCAAATAATTCTTCTTTAGTCATTGTACTTTCTCATCAAGCCTGTTGTTAGCATAGTGAGCAAACTTGAACTTAGAAATGAGTCCCATGTGTATTTAAGGACAGTTTTCTATGACTAACCCTGAGCATTATTAGAAACTTATTTATATTGCTTAGGAATATGACACTAAGGATAACTATCAACTTTGAATGTTTTCAAGGATACATTTTCATGTTATACTGAGATTTAGGTAGTAATTTTATATTTACATTCTTCTTTTGATCTCTGTATTAGTATATAGGGTGGCCATAAAGTTCATGTGTGATTTAAAGTAGTTTATGGCTACCATGTATTTATTTTTCTCTTTAGGTTTTCAAGTAAGTACCTTACCAGGTTTTTTCAGGTCTATGTAATAGATAACCATCTAAATTTCCTTGCAGTTTTCTATTCATTATTAAACTTTCATTACTTTTTTTCTTCAATATCTCCCTTTGCATTCTTAGAGAAACGGTGCTTTTTATTATTCAATCATCTCCTTGTGTCCTTTGATTCTGTCAGATAAAAGATACTTATTTTACTATCCTGGCCAATTCTAAATCTCACATTAATTTTCTGATTGTGCTTTCAGGAAGCATTCCTCTTTTTATAGCTGTCTGTTCTCTATTATGAAAGTTTATTAGCATGTGCTTGTGTGCTAACATTTATTGAGCACCTACTGATCACTTTTTCTACAACTATATAAAAATGATTTCTCCTACATTTGAAGAATTTATAATAGAATGCCATTTCAGTATGACTCCTAAGTCCTAAAAGATTTCATCTTACTCCATTTACCTTTTTAGTTCTGTAATTGTTTTCAAATACTACCTTTATGTAATATGAAGAGAAGGACATTCCTTTACAAATGTTTTTATCCTCCTTCTCATTTTGATATTTATGTACTATATTTTTCAAGCAGGGTGTATGTTTGTATAGGCCTACAAGGTGGAAGAAGAGTTGTATATGTTTGATTATCTTAATTTAGCAGCCTGAGATCCAGAACCTTGGAACTTTTAATTTCTTACTTTGTCTTTAGCATAATCACCTACAGAAATATCTAGTGCAGTGGTTCTCAACTTTCCTAATTCCATGACCCTTTATAATACAGTTCCTCATGTTGTGGTGACCCCCAATCATAAAATTATTTTCATTGCTACTTCATAACTGTAATTTTGCTGCTGTTATGAATCGTAATGTAAATATCTGATATTCAGGAGACCCCCCAAGGAGTCGTGACCAACAGGTTGAGAACCAGTGATCTAGTGTTTTATGAACTAAGGCCTTATTTAAAAGTTCATAGAGGCAGAGTTCCTGTTTCATATAAGGCAGGGGTTCATTCATATCCTATTGGGTATAGGTTCTCTAAAGACTCGAGCCCTTCATTTCTGCTTATCTGCAAACTGCCAAGCAAAGTAATGTTGTTAGCAACTTTACCAACCAACACATTACAGAGAATTATTCTTAGAAATTTGAGAATATTGTTGAAGGAATATTCTCTGTGTAAACATGAAAGAATCAAGCTGATGCTCTGAGCTTTCTTCTTTCAGAAACTTTTTTTTTCATTTGAGACAGAGTCACGCTCTGTTGCCCTGGGTAGGTGCTATGGCATCATAGCTCACAGCAACCTCAATCTCCTGGGCTTAAGCAATCCTCTTGCCTCAGCCTCCCAAGTAGCTGGAACTATAGGCATGTCCCACAATACTTGGCTAGTTTTTCAATCTTTAGTAGAGATGAAGTCTTACTCAGGCTGGTCTGGAACTCTTGAGCTCAAGCAATGCACCTGCCTAAGCCTCCCAGAGTGCTAAAATTATAGATGTGAACCACCATGCCCAGATGGAAATCTTTGTCATACGTTTCTGGGTATTACTATTATTGTTATTTGTGCCCTTGATTGAATTTGTTTATATCTGAAGTTTATCAGTGACATTTTTGGGATAGACCTTTTAATTGTGTTCTGTTATGTATTTTTTAACTCACCATCAGTTTATAACTAAGTTATTTAATTGTATGCTTTTATCTAGACCTCCTCAGTGCTATTGCTGAAATTCTTTCCATCTTTTTTGTGTAATTACATATTTGAAATTTTATTTTGGGTACTTTGTGTTGTTGCTCCTTAATCATCTCATAGTAGTTCATATTTTGAGTTTAAACTATTGCATAGACTTTGGCTGTTGTTTAACCCAGGCTTTGATATCAGATTAATTTAACATCTGTGCTCCAGTGTATTACTTACAGATATATGACTTTGGACTAATTGTTTCTTCTCTGTAAGCCTTAGTTCTCTCATCTGTAAAATATGGATAGTAACTGTCTACTTCATTGTATAGCTGTGTTGATTAAGTGTGATATTAATACATGGAAATTATTTACCATAGTATCTGGTATACAAAGAACACTTAATAAATAATAATAGTGGGTCAGTGCCTATAGCTCAAGCGGCTAAGTCACTGGCCACATACACCAGAGCTGGTGGGTTTGAATCCAGCGTAGGCCTTCCAAACAACAATGACAACTACAACCAAAAAATAGCCAGGCATTGTGGCAGGTGCCTGTGGTCCCAACTACTTAGGAAGCTGAGGCAAGAGAATCGCTTAAGCCCAGGAGTTGGAGGTTACTGTGAGCTGTGATGGCAAGTGCACTCTACCCAGGGCAACAGCTTGAGGCTCTATCTCAAAAAAAAAAGGAAATAATAATAATAATAGTGGTTATTTTATTTCTTGAACTCTGACATTAACAAGCAAATTTCTTGCACTAAAATCTTGAATTATAGATTTTGATCATTTCCTGGATTGATTGTCTATTGGTGACATCTTTCTATGACATTTAGGGAATTCAGCTCTTGGAGTATATGCCTGATAGATTTTTAGGACTGGTTGATTAAAATAGTGAGAGTACTAGGAGATTTGTTAACTGGACACCAAAACAGTGAAGACATATCCCATAATAGGTTTATCTTGTCACCTCCACCTGTATCTCTCGGTATCAATAGATTGTCAATCTGAAGAGAGATCTTGGGTCATATACTCCTTTCTAAGCTTTCTTCAATCAAATCTCTTTCCTTTTTTTACTTATTCCATCTTCTCTTCCTATCATGTTTTATTATTTCAACTTTATCCATACTGTTATCCTTCCAACACAATAATATAGAGTTCTTAAATATGTAAATGTTGTTTTATGTCTTGTTATCTATCCTGTTATTTTAGATAATATGCTCAAAATATGCCCCTTTGGGTTTAAACCATATTTAGAATCTGTCAGTGCAGTCTTCCTCTGTTAATATCAGTGATACAATAATGTCTTTAGTTTATTATTCTCAGGTGGCAGTAGAGAGGGAACTAGGTGTTGTAACTACCTGAGTATTTTATGTATACGCACGTAGTATATTTTCACTTTGGAAATTATGACTTATATTGAGAATGATATGAACATGTGTATTTAGTGAAAAAAGTTCTATATGATTCTAATATCTGGTACCCCTTTTCCACAGCTTCCCTGTTCCATAAGAGCTCTATTATAATTTACATAGCATCTTTTTATTCATTGTCTTAATTTCTCAAGGCCCCTATTTTCTTTTTCACATTGATTTGTATTTTACCAGTGAAACAAGGTCATAGATAAAGAGATGTACCCAAATTAATAGAAACAAGGTAATAAAAAAATAGGTAGTTGTTATTGACATTTTTCAGAATTTGGTCAGTAATTTTCAGTTAAAACACAGTATCTGTTTATATTGTGGAGATGAATACTTAATGCTTTTTATAAATTATTATATAGAAGATTTTTTTTAACTTGCCTTCT